TAATATCAATATATACTAGAAAAACGACTAGGCAAAAAACTTTTTACGTTGCCACTTTCAACATCATATTTTAAAGTTTGATATTAATCATTGATTACACCCACCTGATTTCATTGAAAATCAACGTTGCATGTTTATTCTTTCTTGTATTTTAGCATTGTATTCAGTTTAACACTTTTTAAAAAAAAAACTAACAAAACATTACGTCAAATATAGTGCGTAAAAATCATTACTAATAAATAGAAAACTTGAGAGTCTCCCTATACACATTATTTTAGAACTTTACATTCCTTGAGATTGGGTGGTTGTATATTTTATTCCAAACATTTTACAGTTTGTAGAGATTTTTTTCTTTTGTCATAGGAACATTTGGGAGGAGATCGGAGCGTTGAGGTGATACATCGTCTTGACTATTTCCAAAACGAAAATTTTAGACGAGGGTATATAAAGGAAGTGAGACGTTTTGTTAGTGTGGACCCGGTTTAGCTGGTCTCTTTTATGACCGTACTTTTAAGATCTTTGAACTTCGCCAACGTCGGATCCCATACCGGGCAGAGAGATAGTCTGTGACAGAAAATAATAATCATAGTAATAAAGTAGCGAATAAATAGTCTCAAAGCCCTAAAACCATACCATGCCTCCCCATACAACTCTGCAATACACCATGCCTTCTAATCCAGCCAATTCAAAGTCTGCAACAACACCAAATGGTACGACGCAAGTGAATGCAAATCCTAAACCTTTGACGTCTTCTACGCCAACAAAAGCAACATCTCGACCAAGGAGGGCGACCTCAGCATCATCATATATCTTCGCCCCAAGTTGGTTAGTGAACTTAAATAACAATAATAAATCAGGATCATCTTCAACGGTGTTGAGTCCCGCATATGCATCAACAACTGAATGTCCATCAGCAAAAGAAGAAAGCAAAGGATTAGGAACATTAAAGAAAGATGGGCTTGGTGGTATTAAGCAAGTTAAGGATGGTCAGGAGAAAGGTGAGAACCGAAATATTCCAAGTGATAAGGTCAAACAAATTTTTAGGAAAGAATTTGTTAGTGGTTGAACCAGTTTCAAAAAAAAAATTTTTAGGTTGTGAATCAGGCTTTCCTTTTTTGGAATGACTTAAGAAACGGTCCACATCTCATATTTTTTGATTTTTGCTTTCCACATAAATTGTAAAATTGTGTAAAAATACTATATCAGATGGCAATTCTTCTATCACTAGCTTTTCTCGAGCATCGGCTATTGGTACTTCGCCATCGGCACCTATTCGACCAAAAGCGAGTTCACGTTCAACGGCCTCAGGAGAAATGGATGGAATTGAGGTGATTATATCTACATCTATATAATAACTATATAATAAAAATGAGAATCAAACATGTAAAAAAAAAAAAAATTATTAATTAATTGATTTATATGTAGACGGTGATGAAAGGGTTTCATGGGCGATCACGCTCGGCATCTCAAACAGGATCTACTATTTCGTCTTCTCCAACAAGCTTTGATCGTAATTTTGTGAGTGTGAAGTCTCAATCTGTATAATTATGATATTGTATAATTATAATTATTATTTGCTAACCAAAAATAATAATTTATTATTATTTCAACTTATGTAGCCCACATTGGCGAAAAAGAAACAATTTCCTTTATCAGTTGATCTTTCGACGGGCAATGTTGATAATAATATGTGGAGTGAGTATTTTTTTTTTTTTTTTTTTTTTTGTTTTTTTGGCGTTAATCATAACTATGTCAAATAATTTCAGTAGAAAAAAGAAAAAATTGTAATATTAATTTGTACTAATAAATTTGATTATTATATTTAGAAAATTCAGATACAAAATCAAAATTGCTCTCACCGACTTCATTACCTATAGCCGAAGATACGATACATAATCAAATCATGGATCATGAACCTGAGTTGGAACGGAGAATGTCATTAGTGCCTAAGGTTGAAAGCGGGAAATTAGATGGAAAACGTGCCATCAAAGGTTCCGTAAAACGCAAGACTAGTCGGTCATTGTCAATGGATAGCGTTGCAAGAGGACCAACTATTGGAATTGGAACCGGTAATATTAGTAATCGAACACTAGGCCAGACGCAACACCTTAGACTTAACTTGAAAGAATCCGTAGCCGCTAAAAATGTCAACGGTATTCATACGCAAGGGTCACACGTGACAACACCAAACGGAATAAAAAAGACGTCACTTATCGGTAATGGACAAACGTTAACCGGCAGGAAATTGAGCATTGGTGGAAGTTCCAAGTTCGATTGGAGTACAATGGGAAAAATTGGACATTCCAAAATGGTGTCAGATGATGAAGAAAGAAACTCAAATGACCGCAAAGAATATTACTCACAAAACGGTCGAGACCATATTGAAGAAGAGGAGGAGGAG